CCCCTCTTTTCCCCCACTTTTCCCCCACTTCTAGGCACCCCCTGCCACCTTCTCCTACCACGCGGACAGGACCTCGCACGGGCATCCATAGGCGCCCGCGCGGAAAAAATTGTTTGCCCCCGCATCTCCTACCAACGCTATCCTAACCTGATTAGAACAAGTTACCACGGGTTAGGATGTTACCCGTCCGTTCAGGTACCGGATGTTGCTACCTGGGGGGACCGACAAAGGAGGCCGTTTGGTTCGGAGTTTCCACCGTCCGAGTAGCGGAATTCTCGTCTTTTTTTCGAATTGAGCAAGCGATTTGAAATAAATAGTTACTTTACCGTTTTCTTCCTACAATGTATAGTTTCCAATTTATGAGCTACTTTTCTGTGTTCACCATTCTTGTACAAATCTTTATTGCAAATATTAATATACAGTATTCTATGGTCGGAACACGACTCATACATGGTATATCGCAACCTTATTGTACCCACATAGTGCTACTATTTTACCTCGAGCATGCCATCGAGCATCGGATACTATGATCCCTCTAGGTGTTGAAATACAGGCAACATTAGTAGGGTGCCATTCGAAAAAATGAACTGTTTCTGTGAATATCATCAGTCTATCCTCTTCACCGCTCCATCTAATGTCTAAGACAATTAAGATGTATTAATGCTCATCGAATCTCTCAATGTTGTTTCTACTTACTCGATATAGAATTCCGAAGAAGCAAGTGGTCGGTACAGTCACTGATGATGTCCCATATCCAGAGTGCACTAGGATAAACTTGATGTCTAAGAGCCAAATATCGCCCACTGGCACTAAATTCCAAAATATCCAAGTTAGTAAATTGCGGTTCGTGTTTACCATCCTTCTTCAGGATAGGAACATTGACGGGACGATCCAGGACTTCTTCTACTAAATGTATTATTATTATTGTTATTTTATATTCCTGATTTTGTAATGTCAATTGGTTCCTATATATGAATATTAAACGTACGAACGTGTTTGATGCTTAAACTTGAGGTCTTACTGGGATCCTTTACATGAATAACACATTCGTTGAATACTTTGTGGTAATTATTGTTTATCACAGGATTGCAGTTGAACTGTAGAATTGGTTGCCATGTAATATGGTTGATAAGTACAACCTATGGAAAAATTTAATTATGATATATGATAGAGAAATTTCTCAATGCCTAAAATATAGTGGTCTCGAAGTACTATTTAGCGCATCTGTACCAATTCATTAAATCCTGCAACTGCGAGAAATTGACCGCTAGGCATCCATTTAACGATATCTATGCCTTTCAAGTGCTTAGTATATCCATATCGTACGTTTCTAGATTCCTTCCTTTTTTCAGGACAATATGCTCCGACATGGCTTTCGGAGAGAATTGAAAAGATTAACAATTTAGATTCGCTGATAATTGAGCTCCATATACAAAGTAATTCCCCATTAGGAGACCAATTTATGCCATCGATGCTGCTTAATCGTTCGCACATCAATTTCTAAAACATAATGGATAATTACATGTTATGAATTGCTTAAATGTGTGGAATGTTCACATTTTACTAATTCTATATTGCACTAAAAAACGTGACCATTAGGGTAGACTGAATTTGGCGACAAACGGGTCAAAATATTAAGTACACACGTGAGTGGTATAATTTTTAGCCTCCTGATTGGTAAGTCGATTTCTTGATATGTCCTATTTGCTCTACCTTGTTTCTTTTTGCCACTCCTCTACTTAAAACAATTTTTATACTTCTTTATGCTACGAGTTGTCGATATCAGTCAATCGGGAAGCTACCCTGCCAAATTTCGTGAGAAACGCTCAAGAGGAATTTAAATTCCGCGCCATCGGGTAACCCTCTCGTGTCAGTTGGCGTCAGTCGTCGCTATTCGTTAGTATTCGTTAGGTGCGATTGTTTATAATCGAGAGCACATGGTTTATCGTAAATGATCGTTAGTTATTCCAGGAACTACTAATTTGGTCATTTCGAACGGTGTATTTGTTCACCTATTTAAATGATAAAGATTGTTCGTTGTTAATCATGATGCGACATATGTACTCGAAAGAGGTTATGTGAATGATATATAAATTGACGAAAATCAGAAACTGTTAAAAATGACTACGCGTTACATATCTTGCGCATGTAACCGCGTCCCACACTCAGCCGATTGGGGAAGGAATGGTCTAATTTGTTTTGGCGCATGTAACGCGGTGGCAATCTATGACCCAGATGTTAATAGGCATGGCAAAGTGTTGCAAACTCTACAACGACACACTGGACAAGTTACGGTCACAAGATGGATCAAGCAAAGAGATGCAAAGCCTGAAATGGAAATTTTATCTGGCTCCAGTGATGGGACGATCGTTATCTGGACTCGGATCGATAATGTTTTCAAATGTACTTCGGTTTTAAATATTGACCATGCAGTTACTATTGCTAATTCCTTGTGCATCTACGAGTACTATAATGATCCTGTTACTCACTTCGCGCCTTTACTGATATGCACTGGGTCCATTTCTGGAGACTTGAAATTATGGAAAAGAAGTAAAGATGGAGCCACTGTGTGTTTTCAAAAACTTCATTTTGATAAAAAATTAACCATTGAAGCAAATTTGTGGCTTTTGCCGAATGGTAAGATTCCTATACTAGCTGTTGCACTGGAAGATTCGACGATCCAACTGCATTGCCGAAACAATACGTTCGATGAAGAAATGAATTTCGAGATGGTTCAAATCCTTGTTGGACACGAGGACTGGATTAGATGTATGGATTTTACTAATGACAATAATGGAAATGTTTTGATGGCTAGTGGATCCCAGGACGGTACTATTCGTTTATGGATTATTTCAAAGAAATTTAAAGAGAACGACGATAACTTGCTGACTCGGGAGCAACGGATATTTTGGATTAATGATGAAAAGTATACGGTAAGTTTAGAATCAGTTTTTAGTAGTCACGAAGGATGGATCTATGGAATTCACTGGTACCCCTGGAATATTATCGACGGAAAATACGTTCAACCGATGAAACTTCTATCGTCTTCTCTGGACAAAACTATGATCATATGGGAACCGGATGCTGCCACTGGCATATGGCTGGATCGAGTTAGAGTAGGTGATGTTGGTGGCAATTCTCTAGGATTTTATGGGTGCAAGTTCAGCCCAAACGGACTAAGTATATTTGGGCATGGTTATGAAGGATCGTTTCACATTTGGAAATGTTCATCCGATGCAAAGGATTGGTTCCCGAGAACTGCACTGACTGGCCACTTTGGCGAAGTAATCGATTTGTGTTGGGACCCAAAAGGAAGGTATTTGAGAATTAACGTATACATAGGACGAATATCGTTAAATTATAAAATATTGATGATTAAGATCATGTACAATACGTGCTTCTAATTGAATGCAAATTTTTGCATAGATTTTTAATCACTGCCAGTAAGGACCAAACGACGAGAATTCATGCACCTTGGGGAGGAGGATCGCAAGAAACTTGGCATGAAATTGGACGTCCCCAAATTCACGGCTATAATATGACCTGTTTAGTAATGCTGAATCCATACGTGTTTGCTTCCGGAGCGGAAGAAAAAGTCATACGTACGTTCACAGCTCCAATGGCATTCGTGAATTATTTAAAACAAATAGCAGGTGTCATCGATATCAAATATACCGTGGCCGAAGGTGCCTCGGTTCCTGTACTTGGCCTTACCAACAAAGCTCTTTTTGGCGAACAAAAGATATTAGAAGATGATTCAATATTGAGATACTTAAAAAATTTGAAATACGAAAACCCCCCAACGGAAGAAGAACTAGTTCGGTACACTTTGTGGCCCGAATTACAGAAACTGTATGGGCATGGACACGAAATATTTTCAATGTCAGCAAGGCATGATGGATCCATATTAGCTACAGCTTGTAAATCAGCTTCACCCGAACATTCGGCTATAATTTTATGGAATACAAAAACTTGGTATATCCATCAAAAACTGATATCTCATCAATTAACTGTTACACAAATGGCCTTTTCACCCAATGATAAATATTTGTTGTCAGTTTCGAGAGATAGAAGGTGGTCGCTCTTTCAACGTGACGATGACTTTTACACATTAGTTGTTACTAGTTCGAAACAAAGGAGCTTTCACAGTCGTGTGATTTGGTGTTGTGCATGGACTCCTGATTCCAAACTGTTTGCAACTGGTTCTCGAGAAGGTAAAATTGGAGTGTGGAATGTCCTACCCGATACGTTAAATAACAAAGATATTCAACCTGTTACAAATTTAAATTCAAAAAATGATCCAGTAACGGCTCTTGCATTTGCGCTTTTATGTTACGAACGAAACTCTTACGTAATGGCAATAGGTTTTGAAAGTGGAGTGATAGAGATTCAAAGATTATTATTAATGGTCGATAAGCTTACTTGGCAAAAATTTCAGTCTTATGACTGCTCTCAGGCTCATCATGCACCAGTTAAGCGACTTATGTTTCGTCCGTTATTAGAATCTGCACCAGTTATACAACTGGCGAGTTGTGGAGCTGATAGAATTGTCAAAGTGTACGACATTGATTTCAAAGAATCTTCTCGTACATGAATTTTGTACTTTCGAAGAGAATAAAGAACTAACATAAGATTGAAATTACTTACTCTACTGATTTTCCAATTGCTAGTTTTATAAATTCCAACATAATCTAGACCGTCGTTCGTTATCACAGTGGCCAAATGATTCCCATCTGGACTAAACTGGAGGTTCGTCTGCTTTTTAACCGATGATTTCAGATTTTGTATATGTCTCACCTCTTTATCCTCCAGTGACCAAATTGATAACTGAATCTAAAAGCAGCACATTGCAACTTTTAAACTGGATTATGGATCCTGTGTCTAAAGATTCTTATGTAATAGATACTGGTTTGGTCGGATACCTGCCTATATTGTTTCTTACATTAAAATCGGATAAAGAAAGAAAATGTTTACTATCAGGAGCCCACAGAACACGTTCAAGACCTATACTGCCTTCAATTAATTTACACTTCCATTCTGGATACAAGATAGAAAAAATCTGAATAACAGCCTTTTTAAAATTTGCGCATAAAACATATTCATTGTCAGGGGACCACTCGATGTACTGAAACAATTCAAATTAATTACTGAATGCATACATTTATAGTTATAAAACATACTGTGAAATGTCTAACCTCGATAACATCAGCGAAAACAAATGACTGAAACACGTCGAACGTTCCCGTATTTTTAATCATTAAGTTCACTTGAAACGCTGAGGCTAAATATGAGCCATCCTTGGAAAAGCTGCAGAGATGCTGATTTGTACGAAAGAAATTATTTTCAGGCTCGGTCTTAAACATTGTGAACTCTGTTATCTGTGTTGTACCAGGGCGTTTATTACGTATTTTTGACGAGCGCGCTCACTTCTCACACTTTCATCTCACGTGGGTTTATTCGCCGAATTACGCAATCGCTATATGAAAGAACGAAATCGCTAGCACTTCCGGTCTAGTAATATCAGAGATGAGTTGAGAGATTGACAGGAAGGATCGAGCGATGATCGACCAATCACGGCCCTTTATCGGGCCGGTGACGTCGTCCAATCACGGAGTCGGCCACTGCCGGGGATTGCGGCCCGGCTGAGGGATCGCCAGTTGGCCCTGAAAATTTGCCGCGATAGGATGTCGTCGAAAATTAAGAATACGCGGGAGACGCGAGGGACGTATTACATACCACGATCGACATTCATATCAACACGGTACGCGCAGTTTCCGAACCGACGCGAAGACAATGAGGTTAGGACGCGACAGTGATCACGGTCCGCGAGTGCCATGGATTGAATATCGTTCAGCGAAAGAAAAGGAATTCAACGAAAGCAGTAATATAATATTATCGTTCAATGAAGCAAGAGGAAGAGGAAACGAAGGCAGCGTATCCAGCGTATCCAGCGTATCCAGCG